CGATAGGACATTGGGGCAGACAGGGGAGCGGGAGACAGGAAACGTCTCTTTTTTTAATCAGGTGACTGAGGACTGGTCTTAGTGACTGAGGATAGGAAAATAGGAAGGAAGAAAGTTCTGGTGAGAAACAACACGCATAGGTGATGAAGTTAAGCTGTGCGCGTCTTGAGCTTGAGGGGCTTGAGAGATTCCTGGGAGATGAGGGACTTCTGGACCCGTGAGTCCGAGGTTCGGGCTGGAGGGAGATTTAGGAGTCACTGGGTCACGGGTCGCTGTCGAAGCAGAGGCAGGAAATGGTCCCACCTCACGGCAGACAGGGACGGACAGGGGAGGGAGGGGGCGGGGGTGGCAGCTGGGCGGCCTCAGCGTTTTAAAGTGCTTGAAAAGTGAAAAGGCTGCAGAAGGGCTTCTAGACACGAGCCCGAGGCAGGAGTTTGGGGAAAAGGCGATGGGGAGGATCGTGGAGTCGAGGGGGAGTGGGCGCCGGGACGGGAAGGCCGAGCGGCGCCCCAGTGGGCTGGGGTGGGCTCTTGGGCCATCAGTGACCTTGGGGAAGGCAGCTGGATGGGGCAGGGGAGGAGCCAGATGGCCGTGGGGCGAGGGGTGAACGGACATGCTTACTGAGTGCATGGCCTGGGCTGGGAGCTCAGCGCTGGGCAGACGGACAGACCCTGCTCGGCGCAACTTCCCTTTTCCTAGATGGATAGAAGATCCCTGTGTCCAAGAGAAGGGAAGGGGGTTGAGAAGGGCTCTGGACGGGCGAGTTCCCTGGGAAGGAGGGTGCTGGGCAGGTGAGGGAGGCCCCTGCGGGTCCCCTGGGGGTGTAGCCGGACCATGGGGTCGGGGTGGCGAGAGACGAAGCCAGTAAGATGCAGTGGCTGGTGGGACCCTTACTGGGGCCCACAGAGCAGAGGACGCCACTTGCGGGCACCCGGCCGCTGACCTCTGCCCCATGCAGACCCCCGTCTCCGGCAGCTGCGGACCACAGTGGGGGGCCCTTCTCCTGGCCCCTTTCAAAGCAAAAGCAGGGTGAGGCCACACCGCTGGTCAGCCCTCCTCCACTGCACTGGCCACGCTGCCCTCCTCACCTTCTCACCCAGCCGGCCTCACCCTAACCCCCTCCTCCCCCCAAGTCTCGGCTCTGCTGTCCTCCGTGAGGCCTGCGGCCCACTCAGATGACCCGCGCTATGACCGTGACCCTCACTGTCCAGCCCCCACAATCCCCTTCCTGCCTGCGGGTCTGGCGTGTGCCACAGCCCTTATCAGCACGGAACGTTCTGTGTTGCAAAGATTTGTCAGGTATTGTCGGTCCCCTCAACTCGACAAGAAGCCCTGGAAGCCTGTGTTGTCACCTGATACATCCCAAGTGTCCACAGCTGCTCTTGGTATGTGTCGGCCCTAAATAGATATTTGCCGAATGAAGAATGAATTAAATTAAGATGAAGACCCTGTAGCAAAGTGTTTTCCATCATGTCTCTCAAACTGGAGATGAAGAGAAGGGCATTTATTTTTAATAATTTACCAACCAGAGGGAGAGAGAAGTAATATTTTTTGTCACCCATGTGTCAGCCATTTGATCATCACTAATTCAAGTCTAATGTCGACCCCAGGCACAGAGAACAATCTTCACTGAACAAAATTATTGATCGGCAATGCACCTTCTGAGGCCACACACCAGATCTCAAGAGTCACGCTCGGTCCCCCAGGCTACTGCCATTTCAGGTGACGGTGAAGCCGTCCTCAGTCTCTACGTGTTTCTGAGGGACTGTCACTTTTCTGTAAGACACATGAATGCAGCCCTTTAAACACACAGACTGAGGACATGCCCATTCTGGATCGCCCTTAATGAAGCCCAGCCTGTAGCCAACCCGCTTACAGGCAGATCTCGCCTATAATTACAGCTTGTGGAAGTCAGCACCGCCAGTCACATGGCGGCCCCGGTCCCTCCTGCTGACTCTCTAATTAAACCGGCAACAGCATCTGTGCTTAGGTCCTTGCCAAGAATGGAGGGATGTGGGTCTTGCTGAAAACATGCCTTTCACATTCCCACATGCCCCTGGGCGCTTGGGTCCTCCCTCCAGCCATTTCCAGAGTATTGACCCATGGACAGGGCCAGGCCCCAGCTAGTCTCAGCAGCCCAGAGCCCCTTAGAATGTGAAACTCATTGCAATCACGGAAGCATGACCCAGGTCCCTCCGTTCAGCCTCCTAGCTGTGGAACTGTCAAGACCGGTTCACATTAGAGACATTGTCAACGATGCCCAGGCTTGGTGCCCTGGGGATCCTAAAAGCTGCCTAAC